ACATGACAGAGAAATGAGGAAGGTGAAGAAAAGGAAGGATACACAAGAAGGAAACACAACATGCAGTCAAAAACACCTGCTTTTTTCATCTGCTTTAATATTAAAATTAACGATGAGTCGAGCAAACCAAGGTCTACTTTGCATCCAGTTTGAACACAGATTTTACCCACACAAGAGGACAGACACCTGCCTTTTGGAACTGCCAGTCCATCAGCAGCTTCTGTGACTATGCACATGGAGTAGCATATGACCAGCAAATCCAGCCTTCTCTTTTGAAAGCTTTCTTAAGAGTTTATGATGTTAAATTAATTTGCTTGAAAAATCCTAGAAAGTCTTCAGAAGACAAGGAAATATCTCCCAAATCATATTTCTTTATAGTTATTTCCTGAAAGAACAGACTATAGTTCCCTGATGATGTGGACTGCAGAGCAGTGTGAGCACAGCCAAGCCCAGCCCCTGGGTACTGCCTTGCTGGTGCCTGCGCTAGTCTGGCTCAGGTCTTGCTTCCCAGCAGTGCAACACCCAGCACTTGCTGTGAAGATTCCTGCCTCAAAACCAGACTTCTGTCATCCAGTTCTTAAAACAGTGAGGAAATTACATGATTCTGTCACCTCTGCTCCCTACAGATCCTCTCAGTCCCCTGGGTGCTCCAATAGCATTTACAGGGGGACACAAAATTGGTGCTGAGGCAGCTGGCTTCCTTCTGTTGTCATAGAAAGAGCTCTGGGAGTAGGGCCAGGCTTTTGCATGACAGTTTCATCAAGCATGGATTTACTCTACAGATAAAGAAGAGTCTGTCTTCATCCCTTCCCTGCCCATAGAGCCATCTGCTTTTACTTCCCTGTTAGCAATGGCAGCTGCCCATGCAGAGCTGGACACAGGGCTGGACGCAGGACACTGACTGTGTACCCGTAGGTGTGTAAGTCTCATTGCAGTCTGGCCCCAGAAGGCAGCCAGCCTGGCCTTGCTGGCCACCTGCACAGCAGCTCCTGCACTCCCAGCCCATTAGACACCTTATATCTGCTACTGAATTCAACAGTCCAAACCCCCAAAGCAGTTGCTGCTGTTGTTAAACTAATGATCTAGCGTAACCAAATCTAGATATAAAAATAAGAACATAATTGCCCTATTTTATAAACTGCAGAAAATGAGGATGTCACACAACACCTCATTCAGTTCAGCTTAGAACACAGCAGAATTCAAGCAAAAAATCTCCTACTTCTCTATCAAAATAAAACCAGTTAAAGTGTTGTGGAAATGCTGAGATTTGAAATATTGGCTTCCTTAGAGTCTTCATATTTTCCAGCCTCCCCTTCTGCTGTATGCTATGATGATTATAAGGAATACAATTAAAGCATACAAGCTGAGGAAGACTAGAAGTTAAAGCATATAGCTTCCTGAAAAGAGATTAACTGTCTTAATAGTTAAGACCTCATCAGAAGAGAATAATAATGTAAATTTCCATAGCTCTGGAGAGGCAGACCTTGTGGATATTAGCACCACTGCTACTCAAAATCTGCAAATGACCTCCCTTGCTTATACCAAAAGACGTTTCTCCCTCTCTTGTTCTCTCCTCTCACATACACAAACACATAATACTCTGCTAGTCTTAAAAAATGTTATGGTCTTACTTAGAAAGTGTGTGACAACAGTAATATACATTCCTATGCCTATAGCACAAGCTAACATTTTTCCTACAGCTGAACAAGTTTTGGATCAAGAGGGAGACTGAGAATTTCAATGTATCTTTTTCTGAAATTTCCTTTTCTTAATATTTTCCAGTAGCTTTCCTTTGTAGTAGACATGATAGAAGGGAACACACTCTGAAAACACCTTTCATCATTGACAAAAGTGGATAAAAAATTCTAAATAATAGATGCACTGACTTGGGATCAATTCTTGGTCCTTTTTCTCAGAAAATATTTAGTTTTACATAAATAGGATGGGACTGAAATACTCCTTATGGCAGCAGGAAAGTGTTTTGACAAGAAGTGTTCTTAAAAAAAATAAGGCATTTGTAAGTTTTCTTATCTTCAGGAAAATAATCATCTTTACTCACATCAGATTGCTACTAGGATATGTCCAGAACTGCTGTACGGGCAGAGACCTACCTCTGAATTACTCATTTTCTTCTAAGAAAATGCACAGTATATTCTATGTGCAAAAGTCCAGTCTATTTCCTGAAAGAATCAAAAGTGGGAAAATGCATCAGAAAAACATACAAAAGAACACAATGAATAGAAACAGCATGCTACGAATCTCACAACCTGTGGTGTTTTTCTCAAACCTGGCTCTTGATGTCCAGAGGCATGGGAATCTATGTAAGGAACATCAGCTTTCAGCAAAGAAAATAATTTTGTGCTTTTCGTTCCTGCAGAAAGAAAAAAAATTTTTGAAAATGTAAAAAGAAACACTGCCAAAAGGTTCAGATGTAATTCATTCCAAATGTATTACTGAAAAGAAAATAAGAGGGTGTTAAAGGCACTGTGATTTTGAGTTCCCAATGAAGATTTGTTTTAAACTATTTATTCTCACCATTGTACTAGTGATTTTAATAAATATTGCTATTTGAAGAGCTATTGCTTTGATTTCATGGCAATCAAACTGCCCAGTGTAGTCACCTTCTTAATGACAGCTCTTTGCTCTAACACAAGCTGTAGAATGAAACCTGCTCCCTGAAATCCTTTCCACATTATAGACACCTGAATTAATTCTGGTGGGAAGAAGCCTCTTTATTTACAGCAGTTCAATGAAAACAGAATTCTAGTCATCAAGTCTATTATTCACTGGATGTTCCTGTAAATCACATTTCTACAGTGAGTGCATGTTGCAGTGCTCATCATGTTACAATTCTGTTATTGGGATTCCAGGCACAAAACCGCTGGTAGTGAAGAGATTTTCCAAAAAATTACATTAAATTACACCTCTCCTGTGGACATCCACCAGAGATGGACTGAACTCAGTAGAGAGATGCAGACCCAAATTCAATTTTACATGCCTCTTTAAAAAAAAAATCCAATTGAAAGAGAAGTTGTTGTGGCACTTTTTTTCATTTTATTCTGGTTAAAAATACAGTTATCATCAACTTTCCCCTTCCCTTTTCTGAAGAGAAGGGATGATGGAACATAACAAAGGGAACAACTGATCCCAGGCAGTGACTCACACATACAAGGGCATTTTGTGACTCTAAGCAGCCAGTGTTTGATGCTGGCATTGGGATTTGGTTTCAGTTCCTTCAGCTCCATAAGAACTGAAAGACCTGCAAGGGTCACCATATGGAGATCTCCTCCCCGTCAGCTCCAGCATGTTTTACCACAGAACAGACTGGGCAGAATTGGGCAATAACTGCCAAATTCATTGTACTCAGTAGAGTTTGGAAATTAGTCACACACGTACAAAGAATTGTTTGAATAGAATAAATGTGTCCCATATGTCAAGAGCTCCATGTAATATAACCAACAATATACATGGGAATAACAGAGCACTCTGCTGTAGCCAACTTCAGGCACTGCAGAGGCCTGAGTAGTACTCATCAGCAAATGGCTTCTAGTCCCTGTCATGGTAAACCTGTGAACATGTACATAGTTCATCCTTAGAAGATCTCTCAGCATGACCTCTACAGAGAGGAAGCCAATTACCAACTCCCCAAGCGGTAGGAGGGCAATGTGCTACCAATATAGACTGCACCAGTCCTGACTACTCTTCTGATGAAAATGCAGATGATTTTTCTTGTCACAACATAAATAAGATCAGGGCAAAAGATTATGTCACAGGTGACATAGTGCTTCCATGTAACACACTCATGGCCCATCAGACACAGCCTGGAACAAATGACTTTATGTAATGTGCCACAGTTCTGGATTTCTGTCTGAATCTCTGGTTTAGCTAACAGACTTTCAACAAACAATTACAGCCAGACAAGATCTTACTGATTATACGTGTGCAGATGCTGAAAAACAAGTTGTTACTGCAGAATCCAAATGTTTTCTCTTGATTTCTCCTCTCCTACAACTATCACTAAGTATCCTAATTACTCTTAGCCACCGTAAAGTTATATTGCCAATCATTGAAGGATATTGCCATCCTAGGTCATGCCTTTCTTAAGCAGGCCTTCAAAAAGACATAAAGGATATAAAAAGGTTAGGAAGCAATCTGCAGCTGGGCACTTTCCACTGGAAGCTTTATCTCTGTTCATAACTAAGATGTGATGACCCTACAGTGAAATGTAACTTCTGGAATCCTGTTCTTGATGAACATGACAATCTAAGAAATTCTGCCTGAAAAGTTGTTCCCTGTCTTGTTTACCAGATCAACAGAGAAACAAGCAAAATCCCCTATACACAAAATTGGTTTTTTAAACGACAGCAGTGATGTGAAGAGCCCTCCTAGGACATGTATTCCAAGGGGGTTTAACATACCTGTTTCCTCTCCCCTTTACTCCCAGAGAACAAAGTCTGCCAGATTTATTAGGCAGTTATATATTTATTGCAACTTCATTAGTGGTGATCGGAACATTTCAGTTGTGCTCAGAGGAGGCCTGGGGGATTCCTCGAGAAATTGGAAATGTTTGTAACCATTCGGATCCCTTCTTCAGAAAGTTGGAGGCAAAGGGAAGGAGGTGCACCCCTCGCCCCATCCCCGCAGCCTCTGCAGCACTCCAAGGTCCCCGGCGCTGGCTCTGCCCTGTCCAGTGCCAGGAGCCAGGGTGAGCACACCCCCGACCTGCCCGTCACCCCCGGATCCCCATCCCTGCCCGCCACCTCCGCACCCGCGTCGGGCGGGGGATCCGGCTGCGGGCGTTCCGCCGGGCGGGGAAGGGCAGTAGGAAACGGGGAAAGTGGGAGGGAGAAGGGTCAGAAGGGTCCATCCCGGCAGATGGGTGGGGAGAGTCAGCGGGCGAGCTGGGCTGTGCCGCAACGCCCCTCGCTATAAACAGAGGGGCCGCGCTTGGAACGGGAGGAGCGGTGAGGCCGGGAGGGAGAGCGGCCGGAGCCCAGCCCAGCCCAGCCCAGCCCAGCCCAGCCCAGCCTAGCCTAGCCGGGTGCGGTGCGAGCGCTGCCGGGGCTGAGCCGCCCGTCGGCGGGCGCTGCGCGGAGCCAGGTAAGCGCGAACCTCCCGCGGGCGCGGAGCGGCCCCTGCGCGCCCCCGCGGGCTGTGCCCCGCACCTTCGCCCCGGCGGAGGGAGAGCGTTTGCGGTTTGTGGCACAGCCTCCTGCTGAATTTATACTTTGCTTACATAGCGTTGGCAGAGAAAGGCTCAGCCCCGGACAGAACGCGGACAACTTAAGCCCCGTGCCCTGGCTTGCCCTTCGAGGCCCGCTTGCTAAGCCCGCACCACATAATTTTGGAGGTAACTGAGCGTCAGACTCACAGCCATGCCGTGTGTAAGCGCTCGTGTCCTGTCTACACTTTGAGGAGAAAGCAGAGGCATCCTTTGTCAGAAGGCACAGCGCTCAGAGCAGTAACAGCACCTCACCATCTCTGGTGATCCCGTCAACCTACAAAGACCAGCCCTCTGACCTCTGGTCAAGATCAGATTCAGATGAGCAATTAAATTATTATTACTGTGCTAAGCTCATGATCGAAATTAATCAAAAGTCACCAAAAGTGATGCTCATGATTTTTGAGACTTGGGTAAACAGTGCAGGTTTTTTCAGTCTAACAGGCAATGCAACTTCCACCAGTTAGCAGCAAGTATGGTTTTCATCAAAACTGTGTAGCATAGACTTTCCATAACCAGATTTATCCTTTTTCTACAGGGAAAAAAAAACAAAAACAAAAAAACAAACAAACAAAAAACAAACAAACAAAAAAAAAAACCACAAAAAGGCAATCTACTATCAGAGATCAAATTTTAGTTACTAAAAGTTAAATTGCTCCCCTTCCTTTTTTTTTTCTCTCCTTCCCCCCTCCTTTTTTTTTCTTCCTGGCATTAGCGAGTTTCCAAACTTCTTGGATTCACACGGGACTAGAGTTCTTCAGCAAGTTCAGGGGAGATCCTGTAACATATTTACTGTCCTTCCACTCTCTATGCATTAAAACACAATGTTACCAGTTATTTACGGGCACAAGCCCTCCCTGTATTCTTCCAAGTAAATCAGCTGGTGTATCAGTAACTCAGTCAATCAGATCACGATGTGTACAAGCAGTAAATTACAGCATTGAGTTACACCTATTTCTATACTTCTGCAAATCCCCTAGAATTAATGAGATGTATGCCAATAAGCGACAGCAGGATTCTGCCCAGAGCATGCTACAGTTCACTGTAAATTTCCATCACTTCCAAAAGTAGCAGTACTTGTTTGGATTGTGTTGTGTTGCATAGCACGGGACAAGCTAGTAAATGGGTTCAATAAAATCACAAGGTGAGGGTCAAGAGAGATTTTTTGTTTAGGGGAGGCATCTTTTCTTTTCACTTGCATGAACACAGAGCTAACATGATTAGATTTTTGTCTGAATAGGAGGATTAAGTATGGCCTGAAGCAGGTAATTATCATGATGATGTAGAAACGCTCTTTTAGGTCTGTTTTAGTGTCAGACAAATGTTTCATACTCCTGACTATGGCAGTCCATTTTGCTTGTTGCCACTATAATCTTTTAAATTACAGCATCTTTCAAAAATAAGAAGTGCCCCTACAAATTAGGCTTTTACTCATATATTAAGTTCAAATATATGCCTTTCCAAATGTATTTCTGTATTTCTGTACACTTTTCCCCTCTACAACTTGAACTGCATAGCAGAAAAAAACCAGTTATAATTATTGAGTGCTTCCTAGTTTATGTTGCTAAACTGAAAAAGTGGAGTGGCCCTGTACAATTATAAGAAGTCACATTTATCACTGAAGTTGGATATAGCTGAATTAATTGTCCCCTTTTGTCATAGTAATAGATGGAAACAGAGTTAATTTTCACAGAGGAGGAGAGTAGAAGTGCACCCGTTTCCAATGGTGTAAGGTGTTCCTGCCTTCCTGCTTTGACATAGTACCTTGTTTGGGATGGACAGCATGTGCAAACTGCAGCTAGAAGTTACTGGTTTAAAAGGCAGCAAATACCAGCCTGGAACGCCAGTAACCTTGTAACCACTGCAGAAGCGAGGAGAGTGCTGCCTTTCAGTTTCAAACATCACAACTCAACAACCTGCTTTCTACAGTCTTAGAAAGATGATGCATGATAGTATTTGCGTTACCTGCTGAAGGAATAATATTATCTTTAATGGTATTAAATATCAGTAAATGTATCATGTTTCTTTTTGTTATTTGTTGTTCTATAAAAACAGAGGCAGATGCAGAATGTAAATGTGGTGATTTATTTACACTTTCTAGAAATGTATGGACTGACATGGAAATAAATATCAGAGCTAATGCCCATTAAAAAAATTTTACTTCAGATAATGGGCACTAACTGCATTTTTCTACTTCTGAGTTTTCTGCACTGTGGTCATTTTATCCTCCTATGTTTGTTAAAGGAGTGTATTTAGATAGTCCTTTTCTCTGGCACTGCCTGTTGTTCTGTACCACAGTCACAGTAATTAATATGGTAATTTAAAGTCGCATAAATTACAAACTCATTACACTGTCCTAGTTAAAATCCTGTATATACAAAGGTATAATGATAGTTGAAAATATTTTAAGCAGTCATAAATTACTCCTACTTTCTCACTACTTCTCCTTTTCCTCTGAACCTTCTTGCATTCCAGAAGCTACTGGTGTCACCAGTAGTATTCATAACCTCTCCTGTGGCTATAACTGCCCAAATTTTAGGGCTCCTAATCACACTGTGAGAAGCATCTAACTGTTTGAGTGGTTGGCACGTGTCTGTCCCCTGCACCTCAAGTCTACTCTTCTATGTGGATGAGTTAATAAAAGGTCGTGTTTGGTCTTGACGTGGACAGAGAATATGGATTTTTATGCATTCCTTTAATTAAATACTATGTCCAACTTAATAGCCCCTGGTGGTCTAGGGGGTAAAGGCGCCGCGCTATCACCGCGGAGACCCGGGTTCGATTCCCGGTCAGGGCCACTCCCGGGCAGGTGGGGCTCGTTAGCCCTTAAAGGCAACCCACCTACGTCCTAAGGACCTCACTGCCACCGTCCAAGCTCGCTTGGCCCCGGCAGATGAACCTTAGGATTAAAGGGTGGGCTCAGTTCCGCGCACACTGTGTCTCACCTAAAAAATCCAATGCGCAGGCTGGAAGGTGGAAAGACCTTCCCCGGATCTTCGCTCGCGAAGACTGGCCATTATTTTTTATTATGTCCAACTTGCATTACAGAGTTAATCTGGTGCTTTTTTTTTAGCTGAATTTAATCATTATCTTCCAGGAGACCACCTCAGTAAGAGGAGAAATCAACTACAATTTAATTTGGATATGTTAAATATAATGCTGAGTTGGGGAAATGGGTTATCAAGATTCATCGACCTACAAGTAGATTTGCTTGGGCTCTATATTAGATACAAGAAGGAAAGCGGTCAAATGGCCAAGTCAGGGAAAGGGTGGTGGACAGCAAAGCAAAGTATACCCATCCTCTATTTCTGATAGTAATGCTGGCAACACAGCAACCATCATCTCTCTCCAGGAAGAGAAGTATTAGCTCAGAATCTTTTCAGAATTGCAAGCACAGTCAGGTTGAGAGCTTACAGCTAGAAGGACTGGGTCAGGGTATAGCCTGGCCACTGAAGACCCACAACAGTCTGCTTGTAGGCTCTATTGCACGTTTAGCTAAATCTCTAGCCCTTGGGTAATCTTGGTTCAGTTTTAAGCCTTATCTAGCTTATTGCCTCATGCTCTCAGTTGCACAACAATTCCATCAGAAATGCAGTGACACAGATATTTTGTTTTACCATGTGTTCATCTCAAACATTAATTAAGAATTTTGAGGTATTCTTGGATAGCAGTTAAGATTTTTGGACAGTTAGTCCTAAGGGTGACCGTGGTATTCTTAAGAAGTCAGCCTCTGCACAAGTAGGATCAGGTTTGAGAACCTAGGTAAAGTAAAATGGCAGAATGTCACCAAGAAAAATTTTTAGAAATCTCATGAAATTCTGAAAACAGAATTAAAAATGTGGATCACTTATGAAAAGAGGGAAATGTGGAGGGAAGACTTACATTGTTCTTTTCACTATTGTAGGATTAGTCTTTGCAACACCAACAGGAATAAAGAGGTTGCTGTTGCTGAGGATTGAACCTCAGCTACTTACCTGGAATTAACTTTTATGCATAGTTGAAATCCTTGCATGTAAACACAAGGTGAGTTCAAGTATGTTTGAGAGTTTGAGTAGGTGGCAACCTCATGTTCAGAGATGTACAGACCTCATTAGGCAGAGTCACTGCAGCCTGAAGAACAGAAAACCTTCAGCAAAACTAATTTCAGTGGAGTTGAGGCTGTATATAAGAAAGTTACTAACCACAGTATCATTTTCTGTCTCCTGATCCTAAACACCCTGCAGTGAAAAGCAACCCAGCAAGCTTTTGCTAATGACAGTTTTTCTTTTAGTTTCACTTCCATCAGTAAATTTTTCTTTTAAGATCACTTTCACCAATAGACAGTGCACTTCTACTCAGAGAACTCATACCATGTTCTGTACCATCTCCTAAAACTTATCCCTTGCCAAAAAAAAAAAAACAAACAAAAAAAAAAAAACCAACCAACCAAACAATTGCCCAATGTACCATAGAAGAATCTTTGCCAGTTTTTGCCCATTTTGGTGAATTTAAAAAATTTGACAAATGAGGAGAATTATGGTACTTGTACTTATTTTTTTTACCTCAGCTATACAAAGAAATAAAAAAAGGTTATCTTGACTATAAGTCCTAGCTGTGATTGCTTGAAATGAAGCACAAATGGAATAGAATCGCTGGCCTAGTCATTTATGGTCTTATCTTCAGAAAAATTATGGATTATACTAAAATTACTCTCAACCTTCAAGTGAATTGCAACTAAGGACGGAAAAAGATAATGCTCCAAATGACATGCTGTTGGTATTCTCTGTTGCACCATTATGTGAAAGAACTACAGGTTTTGGCCTTTCAGGTCTCTTTTGCAGTTTTCATTCCATTTGGGTTTTGTTTGCTAGCAAAACTGTCCAAGTATTCACTATATAACAACGCTAGCTAAAATGCTTGGTTACTATTTGTGGTGTTTATCACTTTTTATTGTAGCTGAGTAGCATTTCTCTTATAGGCACAGAAAACGGGTAATAACTGAAGACAACCTCACAGTAGGAAAGTGAGATCAGACTGGCAACGCATCCGTGAGTGGCATGATTGAAGACAAGACAACAAGCAGGCTGCAGCAAAAGGTAACTGGCAATATCTAAGGAAACCAGTACTGAATTTGGGCAAGGTCAATATTTAGACAGTATTTCACTGCTTGAGTTGAAAGCTATAATTGCAGCTATGGCCAGAACAAAGAATGATTTAACAAAACTTCTAATTTCAGCTAATTCACCTATTCCTTTCTTTACTTCTAGGTCATTCAGGTTTGTCAGCTACTGATAGATCCTTGGCTAGTGGAATCTAATAATCAGTAGATGTATTACAGGAACAGAAATAGAGAATAAAACATTATTCCTGAATCCACTCTGTTTTCTGAAAACAGAGGATATGCTGAACAAGAGTACCTCAGCTTTTCTAGCCCAGAAGAACCCATGCAAATAGTAAAACATTCCAGAAAACCTCAGAACAGCTGTACTTTCATGTTTAGGGGCCTTACACAGGGAGAAAAATGCATTAGTTAACTTCTCTAAAAAATGTTCCTTTGGCAGTTATCCTCCATTTAACCCTCCTTTAGCATCAACACAGGCCAGCCAGAGCCTTCACTTGAGGCAGACAGCAGGTGATGTACAAAGATGCAGCCTGAGCTTGTTTATTGAGAAATCATGCATGCCCCTCCCAATCTAATTTTATAGGATGTATGTTGTCTTTTCATCTTTTTCTTTATAAACTACTATTGATTTTTTTTATTTCTCCTTTCTTCCCTCATTCTTGTTGCCCAAGCCCAAAAGTTTTTACAGTTTTACTTTCTGCCCCCGCAGAGGGGAGTTAGTCTGCTACCACTGGAGTTGCTCAGAGTTTTCTCCCACCTCAGGCTCTTTACTTGATGTACAACAGTTAGAAATTGAAAGCATGGAGCAAGAATCAATATATATTTGCAATGCAAGACTCAAGCTCTGCTGTTAGATTTCTGTCTTAATTGTTTCGGTTTTGTTATGAGCAGCTTACTGTGATTAGACAATATAGTTTTTCTCAAATTAGGTAAAAAAATATTCCTTCACCTATGGGCTTCCTAAAAAGTACTTCAAAGAAAAAGGGTTTAAAAACACATTGCCTTCAAATACATTTTATGATGCTGCTCCATGTTCTTAAACACACCATCAAAAAAAAGCCACGTAGTTACAGGACAGCCACACATCCAAAGATTTGCACGTGAATTTTCCTAGCACTAAAGTAAAGCTCATGTAGCTTTGGGAGAGCACAGTACTACTCTTTCCAGGCTTCTGTGCAGTTTTTTGCTTGAGAACCAAGACTGCACTTCCTTGAAGATGTGATATATGTGATATACTGATTCACAGTATCATAGCATAGCTCCCTACAGCTGTAGCAGCTGCCTTTTTTTTTCGCTGCCTCTGTGGATGGTCCTCAGGACCCACAAGGAACATCTCAGGACAGCAAAGAGAGTTCACCAATTAATTTTACTTCCACAATACAACAATAAATTTTACTTTGGAAGAAAACAGGAAACAAGCTGTACAAATTTGGCAGAACATCTATTTTGGTATCATTCTATTAAGTGTGCCACCTTCCAGACAAAGCACTAAGTACCACAGTAACCCATTTTTCCGTGGGTAATATATTATAATACTTTCACACTGACATGGATTAAGGTGTCTGTGTTTGACCTTTCCTTCTCTTTGATTAACCCCTTAGCAACTCCCTAGTCTAATTGATTTTTACAAAACTCACGAATACTTTGCTTGTCTTTATACCTGTTTTCTCAAATTTTCTGCTAGTTCTCATAATAAGCTGCCCTTAACAGGAGTTTTGTGCAAGTGAAAGCACAATTGGGCCTCTGTTTTCTGTGTTATACTTACAGTTACAATGATATATACTTAACAGTTACAATGATACTAACTTCTCTTGGACTTAGCTGCATTAACATTTTAAAAGATTTTTTTGGTCTGAATAAACTCTTGTACTTTGCCAGTTCCTCAGACTGGGTTTTTTTCCTTTCTGCCATTGGTTCCCTTTTTCTGATCCTAATGAGCGATTCATTAAGCCTCCATGCTGATCCTTTGCTTTTAATCTTTTAACTTTTCCCTCCAGGCTGTTCCTAACATTCTCATTTAAGGAAGAAAAGTCTTTTGTGAGGGGTATTGCTGTTGTGTGATATTTTCCCACTGTAAGGATGTCTAAGTTAATTAAATAATAAGAAAAGTAATCAAGTGTCTCAGTCAGACACAGTGAACCAAATCCTATTACAGATTGGTGAATTTTGACATGTGGAAGACAAAGCTTCCTCTGAACTAAGGTGTCGAAATCTAACATCCATTTTCTGGCACAGAAATCCACAGTACATTTGCCTTTGCTTGTTCAGTAAGACAAATACTATTTGTCAGCTTGAAGTCAAAAGAATAAAGGTGTTTAGTGCAAGGTTTGCTTTCCTCAGAGCCATAACACTGACTAGTGGGAAAATATACGGAAATCAAAAGCCATGGTATTGGAAAGGTAGCAATAAATATTCCATATTAGTTGATTTAGTTAATGTGACAGACTCGTGCTGGTATATCTGTGTCCACATAGGCATGGTGCATCTGCTCATGTGCTTATACTTGAGTTAATGTTTTCATTACTCAAAGCAAAAGATTCTATTACTCACTTTGACCATATTGGTGGAAAGCAACAGGAATGGGATTCATTAGAGGATTTTAGAGAGGGAAAGTCTTTTAGGTAACAATATGCAACACGAGCTACTCTCAGCCAACTCATCTAACTTCCATTAGATTAGAAAGTGGAACACTTCTGTTTGACGGAAGTCTCCCCATTTCTGGAGTAGAAGCAGAGAATTTTAAGTGTTTCTCTCCCACTTTCTCACATATTAACCATTATTGCAGATGAAGATAACTATATTGCTCTGCGCAGTGCATTTCTAGAGCTTGTTAATAATTAATTTACACTTGTCTTCTGTATTTGGGGGGAAAGAGGGGGGTTAGGGTGGGGAATATCACGTAAAAAAAGAAAGTGCATCCTGCAGAACAGACTGCACATTAAGCCTGTAAAGCTCTTGGGTGCATCATGGCCCCAACCTGGTAATTTAGCTTAATGGCAGGACGATGTTCTTTTGAGGATTACTATATAGGTAAGGCTTCATACACAGCAGAATGTTGCCATGTATGTCAAAATGCTACTGATTTGCTTTACAACTTTGAGCAAATCTACATATGTAAGCTCTCATGTGGCACCTTTCTTACTGGTTTACAAGAAAGTACAGATAGGCAGTTCCTTGTACCAGGAAAGTAGAAGTAAAGTTATTTTGCAGAGTTTGTTGCTTATCACGTTATTATCTCACCTTTAACTAAGGAAAGTTGTTGAGGAATGTAAACTGAATACACAACGTTAACTTTTGCATCTTCTGGCTTACCAGAAGAGTTATGTGGCTCTAAGAGAGTGGCAAATGACACTGTGGTCTCTAAATAAAGTAAACTATCGGGACAAAGCAAGGAAGCCTCTATTTGGACTAACTGGAAGTTCCACAAAGAGGTCCTATCACCTCCCAGCTTTGTCTACAATGTTATTAGCTGTGTCCCTTACCCTTCTTCCTAGAAACATCTTTGCCTAGAGGAAGCAACAGAAACATAATTAAAACATCACTTTTGGTAGATTTATACTAGTAACACCCCTGATTGAGTCTTTCACAGTAAAGCTGTAAAACAGATAAAGGCCAAAGATGCAGAAAAATTTTCTCCTAGAAGTAGAAAGTGGTTTGGTTCATGAGGAAGCAATTGCAGCTTTGGCCTTTCCTTTCCCTTTTCTGTTGTGATCTCTGCCAGCAACAGAGAAGGTGCTCACAGTGATTACATATTGCTGTGGGTATGTCACTAGTGCATTAACCATTTCAGAACACTATCATTTCTAATTCAGATGCATGAAATCCCTTTTTCTGCAAAATTATTAAAAACTGCAATTATAACCAAGAGTTTAAACTTGTATAAATTTTACCCAGAGGCTGGTAAGTATATACTCACTGACCTCGCCCAGTATCTTTCCTCAGCCTGGACTGTAATACCGTTCTTACAGCCAGTCCTTATCTGGCTATACTGCTTTGGATTCTTTTTTCTACCTCCCTATTACTATACTTATTTTCCATCCATTAATGACATATGACCATTTTATTATTTTTACATTCTTAACAGAATTTAAGAGATGTTTTATCCTTTACCATATTTTATTTCTTCCTGGACCAAAAAGCAAAAGCAGCCCAGGTTTCATGACCAATACGTTTCATTTCCCACACATTACATGGCAGTACAGCTATCCATTATAAACAACAAGACAGAACCATTTACCCTTGTCATGGACTCATCTCAGTTAATAAAAGCTGAGAGTCTTCCTGGTGGGAGTCAGGGGAGTCTAAAGAAGTGAACAGTGTACCCATTGCTTCTCACAACTGCCTGTGAAAGTAGCACCACATCCCTGCAGAAAAAGAATCTGTGTTGCAGAAATTGCTCTGGCCAACAGCCACGTTAAGTGATCCACATTTCTAATATATTAGTTTTCAAATTAAAATACAACACTGTTTTAGAATTTTATATCCTGCAAAAACTGTGAGAAGGAGCCCATACATACACATATTCTGACATGTCCTGGAGTCAGTATCAGGATAACAGTTTGCAAGCAAGGACTTCCCATGAGTCACCTTGGGACCTCCAGGTTACGTCTAGAGCTGCAGTTATTGTCTTTATAAATTCAGATACTGTTAAAACCAGAAATACAACAAGCTAATTACCTAGATGTCTCTCTGTGCGGCTCAGAACATCATCTCTTCCTTAAACAGCAACAGCAGAGAAAGGCTTTGTCTTGCATTCATAGCAATTTATGGAAGCAGCCTTTATTCCTCCTAAAAGTCCACTCTCTAGGCGACAATTGCCTTCTACTGGACCATGGCAACCGCTGACTAAGAAGATCTGGACAGTGAAAATTAAAAATTCTTTCAGTGTTGGATTCACAGACATTCATTTCAGCAAGAAATAAGAATGACCAGAGTCCAGTGATACTCAAAACAGCAGAGAAAATGTCTTGGAAC